CTTAACCTGCTTCAACCCCAGCCCATTTCTCTCTTCTCTTAACTCCTGTTGTACTTACAGTATGTATCAGAGCTTAGTATTTAGTTATCCTCTGGTTATTTCATATGTTCATGGCTCATGAACAAAATTTCTTAAATGCAGAGATTTCCTTTTAAACTAAAATTAAATTTATTTTCCACTAAATAATATATGCTTTGTGTGTTGTTTTCCTCAAAATTTTTTAGACATTTATATCTATATTAATTTAGTTCATTCATTTTAATCAAGAATACAAATTCACTGTTAAAAGATTAATACAAGAAAGTACCATAATTATACTACTCTGCAATAAATGCTTGTATCTTCTTGTATTTCCTTCTAGATTTTTCCTACATGTTTTTTCATGAGTTTTGTACAATTCACATTGTATATAATGTTTGTAATATTTTTATTAGCATATTGTGAACATCTTTTCATATCAATAAATATTCTTCTAAAAATCATTTTCTTAATCTCCTGTGGCTGGACATTTAGGGGATTTCTAATTATTTGCCATCATCCCACAATATCTTTGCTAATGTTTTGTTCTTACTCCTTTTAATATCTATTGCCAAACTGCCTTGCAGAAAAAGGTTGTAACAATTTATATTCCCACTTACAGATTGGAAGAGTTCCTTTTTCTTTCCATCCTTGCCAACAATAGGTGGTATCATTTTTAAAATCAGAGACTATTTCTTGTGTTTCGTTAGTGATTCTAGACAGAGCTGAGGACACAGTGGACACTTAAAAAAATAGTTTTGATAAATGGATTAATAATAGCGTTTTTTTCCCTACTTAGGACTACTGAATTTTTAAGCAAATTTTTTTTACTCATTTATATATACCACGTGATGGTCCTTGGTCTACCTACTAAAAATAAATACTGTATTTAGAAATAAAACAACTACTTTATGAATGACTGAAACATAACTTAAAACACTGATAACTACTTTCAAAGGTAATGTGTGTAGAAGCTACTCTTAAAACGAAAGTTGTCCCAGAATCCTAAGTCTCTTGGGAACAAACAATTTGTCTCATTTTTCTAAGAATAGGAAGTACTAAAACTTCTCCTCTGGAGATTACAACTATGAATTTAGGATACAAAAACCCTCCCATCCATTAGCTATTAGAGTATTCAGAACCAGAAGAATTGTGCCAGAGAGGAAATCAAACCCTGGTGTAGATTTTCATAGTCCCAGTACATTTTCTTCAATTAGATGCAGAAAAAAATCAACACTAATATTTGTGGGGAGAGTTTCAATATTTCTATCCATTTCTGAAAGTTCATTTTATTCAAAGCCACCTCAGGGCTAGGACGACTAGAAGAATGTCCTATTTAGTTAGGTGATTTACTTTATGTCTCCTGCTCAATTATCAGAAGGATCATACTACGGTAATAATTGGTCCCACCTTTCCAATGTACAAATCTTTCCACCTTATGTAAAGTAGTAATCATTAAAAATTAGCATATATTTAAAATTAGTGATTTGAAACCTCTTTTAAAAGATTATATTCCGTAATTCTTTTATAATATTTTTCTCCCCATGATTGGCAGAAGGTACTGGAATGAATTTGTAGCTCATTAAGCAATACATAGTAGAAAGAGAATATGACTGGCACCAGGAGATATGGATTTTAGTCTAATATCTTTCCAGTAACAGCAATTTCACTTTAGGAAAGTCACCTCATGTCTTGGGGTTACAGTTTTCTCTACTATAAACCAAAAATCTGGTTTAGGTCAGTCTTTCCCAAAGGGTGTTCTGTGGAACACATGTCTTATGAGATGGTCCATTGGAAAAAGAGTTTCATGGTGAATATATCTGGGAAGCTGTGTACATAACATCTGCCTTTATAAATTCATAATGTACATTAACATTAAAACCACTGAAAACCCCTGTAGCTTAGAAACCCATTGAATTTTGTTAAACCTAGCATTTCTCACTTATTTGATTAAAGGACTTAATTTTTTTTAATCACATCTAATAAAACCCTGTGGAACTAGAGTTCCAAAGAACACACTTTGGGAAATAATGGACTCAGATCCTTTGAGATGGCTGGATTTATGGTACTACTCCTTCTCATACAAATATTCAGCCAGTATTCTGAGTTCTTTATTTCGGAGAAGGTCAACACCATCCAGTCAATCTCCCAAACCAGAATCCTGAGGAGCATCCTAGATGTCTCCCTCTCATTCACTCCCTCATATCAATTATACATCAAATGCTGTAGATCCCACCTCCTTCACGTCTCCCATCTGGACCCTCCTCTCCATTTTTCTGCCTCTACTTTTATTGAGACCTGTAGCACATCTCATCTGGGTTGGTGCCATCACCTCCTAATTTTCTCCCACCCTAGTCTGGTCTCCCTGGTCTCCAAAACACAAACCCAGTTGTTCTAAAGGCTAAAATACTTCAAAGATTTTATTGTTTATTATATTTACCTGAGTATCGAGTTCAAACTTCTTAGTTTAGCACAGGAGCCCCTTCACTAATGAGGTCATTCCCAATTTCCCCCCACCTCTTTGACTCTTCTCTGTGCCTGTCATGACAAAATGGAATTACTTGGAGGGCCTCTAAGGCATCATGCTGTTTAGAGCCTCCGCACCCACACAGGTATTGTTGACTTTGGAATGCCTGCTCCCTCCTTCATCTGGGTAGCTCCCCATCCCTATCACTGAACATTTAATGCAAGAATCTCCCCACTGGGAAAACATTCCTGATCTGAAAATGAACTCTGTATTCTGATAGTGACTCTGTATTCTCCACCCACTAGACTGTGTGCTTTCTGAGGGCAGGAAGCATCATCTTATGCCTTTCTTGTCTTTGTATTCCTAGGCCCTTTGTATTCAATAAACTCTAATTAAATGAGTGAATGATTTCATGGTTTAAAGGAACTGATGAGAACCTGCTTACTTTTCTTAGTAGCTGAAAGTGACTTTGTTTTCTCTTCTAATTAGCCTTGACCAACCTAAGCACCTTGGGAAAGGAGAGTTAGCTAAGAGCTATCTTGAAAGCGCTCATTGGTGTATTTTTTAAAAGAGATTTCAATGATGTGAGTACCTTCCCTGTAAGGTATTACACAGACTGGTAATACAACATTTGATGACAATTGGGATTTATTAGGTTTGGTACCCAGGTTTGTGTGATGTCAATAAACCTCGTGACAAAGGAAATGAGGAGAGAAGCTATATTCAGATTTGTATGAAATTATCACTTATGAAAAATCTTAAAGCATTTATTAATTTACAAATATTTATTGTGTAAGATGCTATGCTAGATATGGATAAATTATATTCATTTAGGGAAGATCATAACCTACTGAAATAATTATAATTAGAAGTAATGAATGATGAATTTCACAAAAAAGTAACAGAAGGCTACAGGAATTGGTCAGCGGTACCATCTTTGTTTATGAGAAATAGTATTATTCTACACCAGAATATTGAAGCACCTACTAAATTTACAATACAAAAGTGCAGTTACGTTTCTAAAGTACAGATATCTCATTGTGAATGTAGTCGGTAACTGTATTGCATGGTTCTAAATACCAGTTTGAAACAGATTGTGTACCAGTTTGGAACAGATTGTGCAAAAAAGACTGAAACCACTTGAAAGTCCTCAAGAATATCAGGAAGTAAGAATGTAATTAACCATACCAGGATTTGGCCCCAGGACAGAGAAATGAACACTGGTCCTTTCTAGAAAGGGAACCAGGATTTCAGAAATGTACAGTTAATTCTTTATCTGTGAAAATTCAAGATACAGAAACTCAGCCAGCAGATGGGAAGACATGAAAAAGGAATGTTCACTGCAATCAATTCCAGGTCACACTCCCTATTCCTCAATTGTTTTAATGCTGTCAACAAACTTGTTTTGCGTGTAGCCAAGCAAAATAACTTAATTCCATTTTCCCCTCCTTTGAGCAACGTTAGGAGAAGGTCAAAATAAGAGCATAAATTAAAATCAAAATGTCTGCCTAGGTCATGCCTGCATCAAAATAAGCACTATCTGAGTCACTTAGAGCTTGGTGATAAGGGGAAATGCCAACCCTTACTGCTAAACAATTTCAAGAAGGGGGGACAGAAATTAAAATCGCAAGACAAACAGATTTCGAAGTTAACAGGTAATCAGAGATAACCGAAATGCCCAATTTCGAAAAGCTTCCCAATACATTGCATGAAATTGCAGACTTTTTGGCCAAAATGGAATTTCCTAAACAAGGGCCTCACAGATTTCCACGACAATGGTCCTCTAAGCGCCTAAGAAAACATCTGACGCCTTTCTGGAGCCTCTGAATACATGGACGGCATAAAGGTAGATGCACACAGCTCCCGGGCAGATCTGCTCAATGCTCCAGTACCTCCCAGGGCCCTCGGACAGAGGCCGCTGGGCCCGCTTCCCGGGAAAAGCGGACAGGGGGTGGGGTCGCGCCGGGATTTTCCTCCCCACTCATTCATTCTCTGATTCACTCGTTCCTGGAGGCGGTTCCCCGGGACGCGCGGAGGAAAGGTGGGGCACGGAGCACTGCCCCTGAAGGGTGCGGCCCGGCGCCTAAGGGGAGGACGGCCGAGGGGCAGCCGGCAGGGCAGACGGGGTGCTGCTGGCGGGGGGCGCGGCGGCGGCCTGCGCCGGAAGTGAGTGGCTGGCGGCGGGCGGGG